GAGAGAGAGAGAGAGAGAGAGAGAGAGAGAGAGAGAGAGAGAGAGAGAGAGGAGATGGAGGATCGTTTCTCGCCGCCGCGGCTCTCGGCGAAGTCAATTCCCCCACGCGTTCCGGAAAGAGTTAGCGTTAGAGACTGAGAAAGAGAGCAGCATCCCGTCTTTGACCCAAATTCTCGTTCCGAGAATCGCATCGCGATTCTACGGACGAGCGTTTTTGGCTGATTGACAGATCGTACCGCATCGGACGCGCCGCGCCCTTCGACGCAGCTGACAATTCGAACACCGCCGAAAACGAAAGGTCGCGCGATCGTTATGATCCCACGGTAATTTCGCCCAGGACGACCTTAACCTTTTGCTCGCGGCTACGAGTTAATATTCCGGATTCACTCGACGACAAACCTTCTATTAGGTTTATCTCAGCGTAAGCGTCGCCGCTTAATTAACTTTCTAGAGCGCATCGCGCCTTCGTGTTTTCGGCGTCACTTCGGCATCAATTCTACGCCGCGAAGAGCCACAGAGGTCTGCAATGGAATGTAAAGCTCGAATCTTTACGATTCCTCTGGCGATTCTGTTGTCATGCAACCTTTTGAAATTCTTTTCTTTCTTGTCGAGTGCCATCTCTTTTCCCCTAGATCGCCGCTACGATGTCCGGCGAGTTTCGCGTCATTGATGTCGCGTCGATGATATTGAAACGCCAGCTTTCTCCGGCTGCGCTATTTAATCTTTCCCTCGTGTCTCATGACACTCGGCCAATGCATACGGGAGTAACACGTTTGACTCGAAAAGCCGATACGTTCGCAAGTATAAATCACGGAGATATTCAAGGAACACTCGACATCCGCGCGTATATCGATGTGACGTCGTACATATTCCGGTAAGCTACGTGTCCTTCGTGCTATCAAGCGCACGTGTGTCGAATGTAAGAAGCGAGTGCCGAAATGAAATTTATCCGTCGTGCGAAGAATGGCGCGAGTAACTTCATTCTTGAATGCTGAGGACGCAAAGAATATTGCATCCTTTCGGCGTGTCAAAATGCGCTCGAACGTGTTTCGCGTTTTCGCGCGACTGAGACAACGGGCGGAAGAAACAAGTGCGACAATATTCGATAATTTCCGATTCAGCGGCTTTTGCGTAACGCCGCCGCGAAATAAACGCAAGCAATGTCGATTTAATGATAATGACTAGTGCGATGTGTGCTTGTTCGTGCGTTTCGCGCGCAAATGTTACGAACACACGTGGCATTAGCAATTACCGCCGGCGGAAATTATTAACTTAATCTTTGCAGGTCGTTCATTAAATCACGGGCGGCGCGCGATATTCCATTTTTCCCGAACCTGCTGTCGCGGCAGGCGGCGTGACCGTTTCCTCTTGTCGCATATAAATTGGGAACATACGAGATGGCGATTAAAAAGTTCTATTTATATGTCGGTCCACCCTACATTTTTACGAACGATTACGCTCAATATTCGTGCCGAGACTCGTAAAGCAATTCCGTTCGATTCGCCGTGGCCGACATGGCGTGTTTTATTAACATTTGCTTTGCAAAGTGAAACAACGGATTAATTTACTTGCGTAAAGTACGCGGGCCGTATTTTATATTAATAGAAACAGTCGGTGACACTCCGACGTGTGTGTCACACCGACGATTGTTCTGTGACATTCAATTTACCTTTTTCATACATCGTCTTTTCGTGATCGTTGTATCGATCGCAAATTAATATTGCGTATTACATCGCGTACATACACCGGCAATTACTATTTAATACCTGGAATATTACCGAATCAGAGTTGTACACATTTCCGGTCAGCGATTTGTTCCACCGATTATCTCGCGTTAACCTATCGACGCGTTAACCTCCGCCGCCTCGTTGTCGTTCTTTTCTCTCACATCGGGCCAAGTCGACTCCGGGATGATCGACGCTAAAATTTATGTAAAGACCAGGAGTGAGCGAGAGAGTGAGTGACTCTCGCGGAAGGAAATGCATCGCGAACCGGCGCGGGGAGAGACGGCGTGGCGCATAAAGTTTCGTTACTTCAGTTTCATCGTCACTTCGCGCGCTCGCCGGGAGAGACGCGAGAAGGAAATGCATTTACATAATTTTCGCCCGGGCTGATGGAACGGGGAATGCAGCGCGAGAAGGGCGCAGGGTGATACCGCAAGCCGCCGGCAACCAGCACGTGCGAAATGCACAAATAGCGCGAGCGCAACACGTACGTACCGGGTGTCTCGTAATTCGCACATTCACGCGCACGGCTATCCCGAGGTGCCCGGTAATTTCTTCCGATGGACGGCTGATAGTTGGGTGTGCGCGCACACGAAACCGGCGGAATGGCTGCCTGGGGATTCCGTGGACTCCGGATAATGGAGATACCGTGTTCGGATCATTTAGGTATCCTCCTACGGACGATATAGCGTATTTAGGAAGGTGGAGCGCCCGCCATGCGCGAGGATTACCACGTAGGATTACCACGTGGAATTTTCTCGGGATCTCGGCCTGAGATCTCTCCCGCCTCTTGCGCGTGTGCGCCGGAATTACGATGTACTTTTCTCTCCTCTTTTCCAGAGTTAGTTGGACGATCGTTCACCGAGTTAGCGTCGCTTCGCGTCGATCGAGGGGTCTCTTTCTTAATATCCATTCGGTGTTTACATTATCCGTAAGCGGGTTCCTCGTATGCGCGCCAGACTTCCGTCTTGCGAGTTCCATTACCGTTGTGTGCGCGAACGATAAATCACGCGGGACGAAAATAATGTATAGGTGCGCGTTCGTACAGCGGGGGAAGTTGCCGGGCGGGCTGTGTGCTTTACTACGTGCTAAGGGTGGAAACCAGTGAAGCTCGCGCGACATAAAATATAAAACTTCATGCTATCCAGGACGATGCGCGTTATGTGTGAGTGCATCGGTGTACGAATCGAGCCCGAAACTAACGGTGACTGATGTGACTTGGTCCAGACGCCGGGTCGCGCGATTCTTCATCCCTCGTGTTGTAAGCCGCGTGTCGAAGACGATCTTATTTAACGCTCTTTCCAAAATTACGAAAAATATTTGTTAATACAGGTAAGCAGGAAGCTTTTATACGACTCTGAAGAGTGCTAGGAAACTCTCGATTCAGCTCTTTTTAATCCTTTGCGGTCTTCTTGTCAAATTTGTCTCATTGTATTTCATTTCAATCGATCTTATAAACGAATCTTTTAATGCCCTGAATTAGTTGATGTAACACAATAAATGTGTTATATTAACTATACACATTACTATCGCACAAACTAAAATGGAGCTATCAATGTTGCTTACAACCCAATACTTCTAGTTATGTCCACTATATCTTTCTTTTCCGTGTAATTCTCTAAAGAGAATCTCTCTCGGCAGAGTTAATAGATTTAATGGAATCAAAAAGGTCGGTGTAGAGGTTTCAGAGTGCCAAAGTAGATGTTAAATGGAATATTGAGGTCGAAAGTAGGATCAGAATTTCGACTCAGTATATTTACACTCTATGTAAATATATTGCTACATTGTTGTTGCGTTAATTGGATGCCGAGATATTCAAGTGAAAGCAAAGCACACGGAATTCCTACGGAAATACGCCAAAAATAGATGATACCGCAAAGAATTAAGGAATCTATTAGTTTGAGCGCGTTTAATGTAACGTACGTACACATTTCGTATTTGTCAACAATTTTCGACTCGACCGTGGTTCGACGAGTCTTCTAGAGTGCCTCTTCAAGGTAGACAGAATCCCATCTTGCGCGAAGGAGTCTACGATCGCGACGGAGCCCTCCGAATCTGGAAGAGAGTGGAACACTCGAGCAGGTAGAACACTGACGTTCTCCGCGAGCTTTGGCGAGCTTTAATGAGCTAGCCG